TTGTGTGTTTATTATGAATGCTGAAATTAAATGCAGTCATAGAAAGGGATAAGGGGAGAGTGCTAAAAACATGGCACCAGCATACTGTCACCCCTAGTGAAAAGCAATACACATATGCTTTTGCCTATCTGCAATATAACACATCTGTGTTTGCTCTAAATCTCAAACCTAATCATATTTTGTTGAGGAGTTGACAGTTCTCAGAAACTGGCATAATTCATTGGTAAATTCAGATACTTTTATGATTACAGATCACCTAAAGCTTTCAGCATGTGATAAATGTCAATTCTTAAATTTTCAGTTTCAACGGTCCCCCTTTTAATCGAAACTCCTATATAAAAATAAATTGCTCTTTTAAAAATGTTTTAACTAAAAAGGTCGCGTATTATAAATTTAGCCAGATTTCCCTATAAAATCTGATAATTACTCTCTAACTATCCCTTTTTCCTCACCAGGGACTGGAAGGATTCTGGTTTTTTAATAAATTGGGCTTCAAATACACAACTCTCAAAACTTGGTATCTCAGAGCAATCCTGGTTCTCATTAGCAAACTGTTTGGAAATAAATAAAAAAAATTAAAAATAATAATAATAAAAAAAAACACTAACCCCCCCCCAAAACTAGAGGAATACATACTTAACACTTCAGCTGTTCACTGTCTGCTTGTTTCAAAAGACACCTTTGTGTTCATGTGTTTAAAAGTTTAAAAGGATTAGGAGATTTCTGAGTGTGTTGCAAGGAGAATCACAAATCTGGGTGGCGTCTCCTCGGCCGTGCAATAGGGAGTGTGATACCAGAACATGCCTACCATCTATGTTAACTATCCTAGTTTAACTATTGTAGTTAAACTGTTAATTGTAGTTAGGACAAGGCAAGTGGCTTTTTACTGACTGAATTTAAAACTTTTTAGAGCCAAGACTTGTAAGTAGTAATGTGATCAAGTGTGGAAGTGGCTGACTGAGAACAGCTCACCTCAGCCTTTCTTAACAGTAACTAGCAATCTACTGTGCCATATCATATCCATGCTTTATCCAATGAAATAGTCATTTAAATAGATTTAATTAGGTTTGAGTGAACATCCCCTGGGAGCATGTTACATCTTTTAAAAATATTGCTTCAAGTGAGCAGCAGCTTCATATTGGCACTGCTTCACTGGTTAAATTCATGTATTTCCAGTTGTTACCATAATCTTAAAACTGAGACATTTAAAAAAGAAAACTAGAAGTGAAGTCTAGAGCATAATGACAAAACAGCTTTTTAATTGCTGTATCATGCTGTATCAGGTTCTTACTTTCTCTGTCAGGGCAGGTGAATTAGTGAGAAACAAAATTTGCTTTTTAAATTTCTAACTGCAAAGGAAAAATATGCTTTTGCGTCATGTCCTTCACTGAATACTACTATATTAATTAGAGTTTAATGTTACCCTAATTAGAATAAGTCTGTAAACAAAGTCTGAAGTCATAGGCAGTAAAAAGTTAACTTCAGAATATAAAGTTATTACAGTATGTCATACTATAGGAAGTGCTTGTCCCCAAATATGGTGAAAGCAGTAGTTAATAGTTGTAGTGGTACTCACTGATTGTGTAGTTAAATTTTCTTCCTAGCCTCATTTTTCAGGAAATTGGAGTCAGAGCAAATGAACTCTTTAAAAACAAAGTTATTTTAAAAATTGATTTGATGGTATCTCTTACGGACAGCTTCTGAATATGTAAGAGTAAACATTTTAAATATATGTATTTCTAAAAGGCATGTTTTTGAGCACACAGCCATCTAGCAGATTCTTAATCTGATGACCTTCAGATTACACTGTAAAACATCTTTGCTCAGTTACATTAAAAATACATATTAAAAAAAAAAAAAAAAGTTCTGAGCTTTTCTTGGAGTTGCTGCTTTTATTTGAATGGTCCGGGTGAGAGGATCTTTCTTAAGAGCATGGTAACTTACTATGTTATGTCTATGACTTACTCTATCCCAGGTTATGTGATAGTAATTAAAAAGATGATACCTGGAGACAAGTCTGCACTTGAGCTCCTATGACATCTGATGGTGATGGAGCTAAAGCAGCACACCAGCTATTGGAAAACAACTATTGGCAAGAACAATTAACTGAATGTTGCTGTATCAACCACAAGACAGCATAGTTCTTGTCACATTAAAGTCACCATTGTCACCATATAATATAGGTAATAATGTCACCCTATAATATATGTAATATTCCAAAATATTAAAAATCGCTTGCTGCAACGAGACTTAAGTATTTTTCAGTGGCACAACAGCATGGGAGGAATAATTGTGCAAGGTTAATAAAAGTGATGTAATCAATCTGCAACAATGCTTTCTTGTAAGCGCACCCTTACATTTGGTAAATACAGGCATTAAATCCAAAAAGTGTGTGTCTCCTTGTGTAGACTGACTGACAAGCAGCATTGCCATATTCTTCCAGAATAAACATGATTCAATACCTTTAGGTCAGTATCCCATACAAACTATGAAGAATGCCCTTTTTTTTTTTTTTTTGTTAATGCTTTTGAAATGTATCTTAAAGTTGCAGTTCACATGGTAGACCATAGGCTGATAAAGTATTTTCAAAATTTGGTTTAAACATAACCTGTACTTTGCGTGATACTTGTATGTGCCTTATAGGATACGCACAGTGGCCTTAATAAATTTGCTTCAGTATAGCAATGTAATCATACAAAAAGCCCACATTTTTAGTGATTCTTTGGAATCTATAGTCATACCAAACCGGCCTTCCTTTCAGTACACACAATATAATATCTATTTGTGAAACAAATCATGTAAAATAGCAACAAGATACTGTGATTGTATTACAAAAAACTTTTAATTTCATGGTGATGGAATGACAGATGTAGGAAAGTTCAAAGTTCACACAATGTGAAGTATACTTCGGACTAAGTCAGGCACAAGCTTCTCAGCAGATGTTACCATTTAATGCAATTATGCTAGGTGTAGTATGCTAGAGGACTAGGTCCCAGACCTAAACCTTCAGTTTGCCCTGCAAATAATTGTAAACCTCTCGGAAGAGGTCCTCTTCCATCCTCTTAGTTCGCTAATTAACAAAAGAAATCATTAGCAATTTCTCCATCTGTTTCACAGAGACAGTTTCTTTAAAATAGAAACTACTAATGCTGAGGCATGGCAGAACATCATATATTCAGAAATATATTAAACGTATGAACTAGTTCCTGAATGGCTGAGACACTTAAAGATTAGATAAAATAGAGCAGTAAGGACTTCTATATTCTGAATAGGCTAGCAGATTAGAATTATTTCAGTATTTCACCGTGTCAAGGGCTACATTATCCAGAAGATGCATATTACTCAGCAATTAGCTAATGCCTCTATAAGGACTTCTGGAAATTACAGATCAAAAGAGATACTGTCAAAGAACATTCCCAATGATCAATTCTAACTCAAAAAATACAAAGCCCCCATTAAATTTCTGTTTAAACAGACTTGCTCCAGAGCTATTCAGTGCCACTGAGTGTGACAGCTAGAAGATCAATGAGCTGTTATTTTTCCCGCTCCTCTCACTACACATTTTTGAGCCTCTTTCTTCCTTTTTTTAATTGATCTGCGCTACTGAGGACAATGGATGTATATGCAGACTAATGTGAAGAAATTACTCCTTTCTTCCACTGAAATCACTTCTGTGAAGAAATTACCACATACTGACAAAATGATAAGAAATTGCAGTTTGTCTAATAATACTGAGAGTTGTTCAGGGACTTAAGTTTGATATGAACTGTAGAAAAGAGTTTGGAGGGGTTTAATGGTTTGGGGAAATATTTTATCTAATATATGTGTCTATATCTACATCTATATGTGTATCTATATCTATCTCACACACACATATGGTAGTCCATGCCATGCTGGAAATCCAAACTCTTATCCCTAACAGATCTTGAAAATAGTTGCTGAAGATAATCATGTCTGGCAGGAATTTTTCACAGTTCCAATGCAGTTAGCTACATTAACGACCATGCTTCATACTCTCTCTACTAGGGATAAGCCCACTCGAAAACAAAACAAAACGATGTAAATGCCACAGGGAGAACACAGGAGTTACAGGAGCATCATTCAGAATGAAGATGGGTCTCTGCATGCTAGCAGGAGCACAGTGGCTTTCCATTGCCCTAGGAAGATGGTCTGCAGAAAAATGCAGAAACATTCCTCTTCATCTGATGGCTCTGTTAAAATATACAACCTAATCGGCAGTAGTGCCTACTTAGCAGCTATGCTGCCATTACAGTTCATGAAAAAAAAATGGAAAAGAAATACTTCTAAGGAAAAACAAAAACAAAAAACAAAAACATTTTTCCACTATTCATTTTGAACCATTTCAGCTATCAAAATCCTTCAAAAGTAGTCCAAAACACACCAATAAAACTAAATCTAGATCTAAAGTCTATGCAGGCATCATACAAGCAATTCAGGAACTTCTACTATATAATACATTGGCCTCTCTGACAAGGGCTTAGTTTTGGAGAATGAGCTGCTACATCATGATGGCAGATGTCATCATAGTCTGGGATGATATCTGTGTGGTCGTACCGCACAGTGCAGAAATGATGGCTGCACTAGCTAGTGCTAATGTAACTAGGAAACAAGAACAAATTCACATTAATATACCTACTACCTGAATAAAAAAATCAAGCTCTGGGTTTCATCTTTATTTCCCATTTAACTCCTTTGTCCATCTCGCTCAAGAGGGTTGTAATGCAAAGTAACGTTTCAGCAGCACAGAACAGCCCGAGCAGCTGCTGAGCTGTGCTCGTCCTTCCTTTGACAGATCAGCTATCTCGAACTACAGCCACCATCATACATAGAAGTTAGTGCAAGCCGTCGCCGAGCCCGTTAATGCCCCCAACACCCTCCCCAGACGCACGCGCGCTCCTCGCGAGCATGCGCGCAGCACTCGGCGCCGCGGGTGAGAGACGCTCTCCGCGTACGCGCGCCGACCGCTCCGAGCCCATTACCTGAGAGCCGCCCAGCGCTGCCGCTTTCTTTTTCTTGGCAGGGCCGCTGCCACTGCCAGGGCTCGCCGGGCGTTTCTTGCTACGGGATGGGGCGCTGGCGGGAGAAGAAGCTGCAGTAGGGAGCAGACTCGCCATCTTCCCCGCAGCCCCCTCTGTGCGCAGGCTGAGGACGCCGGTGGGGCGGCATCGGGAGAGAGGACCCTTCCCCCCTTCCCCGTCTCTTGCCGTTCTGTGCACATGCGCAGTGGCACCGTGGGAGCTGTGGGTGACTCACTGGGCATGCGCAGTGGGCAGCGCGGCGGCCCCCCCCCCTAGGAGAGTGGGGTGCGGGGGTGGGTCTGTGGGTGCCTTGGATTGGGGAGCCGAGGGAAATAACGGTGTCTTGGTGGGGCGTGCTGAAGGTTTCTTCCCCGTGTGCGAGAAGCTGTTGTTTTGGCAGCCAGGATGACTTACAGCAGTCTGCTTGCTTTGCTCCCTGCTTTGTGCGTGTCTGCGTTGTCTCAGGAGCAGGTGGAGGGAGAGCGGGTCCGTGGGAGGAGTTCATCAGGGTGCATCTTCCTTCACTGTGAGCTCTGCTGAAAGCTCCCACAAGCGGCAGGCTAAAAAAAACAGCTGTGTGTTGGCTAACCATAGGAAGTACGAAGTGTGCAGTATTGGAAAGGAGATTGTAGCTGTGTCCCATGTACTTCAAAGACTACACAGTGCTGCAGGGTGTGGTAGCTTGGGAATTGCTTTAATCGTGAAGTAAAATGCAATGTGAGGCCTGACTTAATACAAGTTACAGTGCTGGGGGAGGGGAGAAAACCTGGCTCATGTGTAACTTGTGCACTGGAATCTAAGGCTACCATAAGTGAAATAAAGCTTATGGAAAACATTGTTAGGCCAAGAGAAGAGCCTGTGTGTTTAAAATGTGTTGACTTTTCTAGCTGTATTAGTTGTCTTGATAAAACGCAACCTTTTTATATTTATTCAATTCTAAGATCATGAGATCTAAGAGTCTTAACAATAGGTCTTCTCTGTCAGTGACCACGTTTTCACTGTATAATCTTCCTAACTGTAAATTCCCTATTGTTAGAATGATTAAAGTTTTCAAAATATGGCTGGACAGATTGTTGATAGTAAACGTCTTTGTAGAAAATTTATACTGATAAAAGGCATGCCATGCAACACACTGTGTTAATACAGTTAGTGAACTGATCTGAAGATTTTCAGTTTGTTGGAATCGGGAATTATTTTGTGCCAGAGCAACATATCAGGATAGATTTGGGGTAATTAGGACTATGATACAAGTATTTTGGCAGTTCTTTTGCAATCTGTGCTCTTTTGTTTTGTGCCGTGGAGAGCTAGTTCATGGTGATGTGGTGTTAGCGCCTCTGCTGAAGCCTACTTGATGGCTGGACACTTAGGCTTCATAGAATCATAGAATGCTTAAGGTTGGAAGGGACCTCTAGAGGTCATTTAGTCCAACTCCGCTTGCACACGCGGAGTCACCTAGAGCACGTGGCAAAGGACTGCATCCAAGGGCGTTTTGAAGCTCTCCAGAGAAGGAGACTCCACAACCTCTCTGGGTAGCCTGTTCCAGTGCTCTGTCACCCTCACTGTCAAGAAATTTTTCCTTAAGTTCCTGTGGAACTTTTGGTGCTCCGGTTTGTGGCCATTACCTCTAGTTCTGTCAGTGGCCACCAGTGAAAAGAGGCCAGCACCATCCTCCTCACTGCCTTCCTTGAGGTACTTATAGACACTGATTAGATCCCCTCTCAGCCTTCTCTTCTCCAGGCTGAACAGGCCCAGCTCCCTCAGCCTCTCCTCACGAGATGCTGTTCTTAATGCACCCCAGGATCCCATTGGCCTTCTTGGACACAAAAGCACGCTGCTGCCTCATGGTCAACTTGTCCACCATGACACCCAGGTCTTTCTCCGCAGAGCTGCTCTCC